CGCCGCCGGGCAAAGCCCGGCCGGCATAGGCGGCGGCAGGGCTGCTTCTCCCTCTTCCGCTCGGGGTCCTGGACTGGCGCGGGACGGCCCACCGACGGAGGCGCCGGGCTTGGCGGCGCGACGGCGGGCTTGGAATAGCGACGGTGGCGTTCTGGTGCTCGTGGCTGGTGCGGCGGCAGCAAGTACCACCTCAGGATGATTGGGCGTGAGAAGGCCCCGGCCAGATTTGGCCGGTCCAGCGGTGGCAGGGGCCTGGAGCGTGGCTCGGGGGGCGGTGGGAGACCGGTTATCTCCTGCTGGGCAGCGGCCCTCGCTGATGCCGGGCTAGGAGCAGAAGGAGGTCCCTTCTGTTCTTCCCACCGTGGTTGTGTGTTGTGACGTCGACGGTTGGTGGTGATTCGGGACATGGATGCTGGGGTGGCGGCCCCGGAGGGTGGTCTGTATGGTGGCTTTCCAGCAGGTTCCATGACGGCGGTGATGACTATGCCTCTTGGTCGTCTGGACGACGAGAGGGGTGGCGGTGGCTGGCTCGGGCTCACTATCTGTCCTTGGCGGTGGCGTTGCCCAGATTCGGATCTGGAGGCCGGTCCTCGTTGCGACTGGCATGGGTGCCTCTTGGCGACACGGGTGAGCTGCCAAGCGAAAGCTTCGCGCTTTGCGCCGACGGCGACGACATCTGTGGGTGTCACGATCTTCTTGAAGACGTCGTCGTGGTTCTTCTCTCAGTGGCGAGTCTCTCGGTGAAAACCCTTGTCCTTTTGGGCTCGGCAGTGGCGGTGCTTGCAGTCCCCTCCTGAGGGCGTTGCCATGGAGGCTAGGTGTCCTAGGTCGTGTCGTAGCGTTATATTCTGGTCATCCTGTAACTCGTTGTTCGGCAATGTAGTCCTGTGCCACTGTGTTAGCCGGTATTTAGGGATCTGCTGTATCGGTGGGCTACCTCATCACATTGTATCATTCCGCCGTATAGATGGGTGTTATTTCTTTATATATAAAGCGTGGAGAGAGCCTATTTCGAGAGGGAGTAATTATGTGCAAGTGAATTGGCCGGTTTGGAGCCTTTCCCTAAAGCTTCCCACACGGTGAACCTTACAGTTTTACTATATATCTTGAGGATATTTCCCAAAAGTATATACCATTGTGATATTTTTCTTTTCTTTTGAAATATATGTCAAGCTTACCCAATTTGGGTGCAATAATTCATCACAATATCAATTTCAAGAATAAGAATGATCTTGTCATTCCTAGGCTACACGTCGAACATTTTCATGATGATTTGTCTTTCTTGATGGGTTGACAAGGCCTAGATCCGCTTCACATGGGCTCTTGCTTCTCCCTCCGACCTTTATTGTCGGCGCCCTCTCTTCCCCACCCAATAGTGTGGATGTGTGGGTGGTTTTAGCTCAAGTTTACTAAAATTAACCAAATTTTATTAAGTTTTAAGGTTCGATTTTTCCTGTTATTTTTCTCATAAACTAGACCAACTGTCTTCCTCTAATGGAAATTACAAAATTGGTGCCCTCTAATGAGGTTCCTAAATAAATAGATCTGAGCCGGTGAAGTCTAACTATGATCTACTCGCTGTTGAATTAGTGCACTTTGAGGCAGAACAAGTCAAAGGAAATGACGAAGCTTGTCATCGCCTATTAACTTAACCACATATTGGTTTCGCTGGAATATCGACTCAGTGGACAAGGAAGGCAAAGTTTGGGGTTAGACGCTGCCCACTTGAGCAAAGTTTTTCACGCTTAAAAACCAACGAACATCCAACATGGCACATGTAGGTTGCCATGTCCAGATTAACCACTAGCGTACAATTGTGACGTAGGCATGAGGTCGCCTGAACTTTCCTAGTTAGAGATTTTGGTGGTCCGTTCTCTTGACAGTTCATCTGTGAATTGTGGACGTGTTGACATATGTTATTCTCTCCAAAGACGACTCTTGGTGGTCGGACTGTCTGCTTGGTGTTTGCGTGATTTCAGTTGCATTGTGTGCACTTACATCATCTTCACTGTGTCATCATTTTTTTTTACTACGAGTTCTAGTTCTAGGGCAAAACTCCCATAGCCTTGCAGCTTTATTTAATATACATGGAACGGTACATAGTATACAACCTCTAATGTGGAGAAAAGAAAAAGAGCAAAAAAACTATGGTACAACTTACCGTTTAAGGTGGGACTCTCCTGTGGAGAACCTACGGTACAACTAACCATAGTATACAACCTCTAATGACGAGAACTCTCCTGTGATGCAATGGCAGGCACACAATGTTGTAAACTTACCCACCCGGGTTTGAGGACTCACTTCTACTGAACAACCTAAAGTTCAAGGAGAGAGCTTCCCCCTTTAACCACACTTACCATTTAAGGTGGGAGGTAAGAAACTCATTTCAACAAATCGTCCCTGAACCTGTAGGCTTAATTATACGTGCCAGCAGGGTTGTGTGATGCACAAATCGTCCCTGAACCCGAGCAAAACATCACACAGGTGGTTCCATCAGCACCATTCCAATCGTTGGATCAACAGTTGCTTGATGTGGATCATCATTGTGCTTTTCTTTTCTCGTCTAAGCATACCATCGGCCATGTATAACTTTAATATTTTTTTACCTGTGTGGTCCTTTGTACGCTAATGTTTGTTGTGTACCTTCTATTGCTGCAGAGGTCAAGTGTGTGATCATTGCATTTTTTATCTTATTGATGACATGGAGCACAACTTTGTATCTTTCCCTTGCAAAAACGGAAAAAGGGATGTCTAGCTTGCTGGGACAATATCACGTGCTATCACACATTAGGTGGTATCATGTTACTATTTTCCCAAAAATGCATTAAAATGGTTTTAAAAAATTGAATTTTTTTGCGAGTGTTCACAAGCAATGGCTTTATAACTTGTAAAAAATTCAAATCAAAACACACAAGGGAAAACAACAAAAAAAGTCAACATGAATAGTGTCACCAAAAGGCAAAAGTCAAAATGACACTATTCAGTTGTGTGTGTTTTGACCATTGGATCTCACAGCCATGGTTGAACTCGGCATGCAACACATGAGCTTTGTAGCTCCCTTAGCATGTGATATTCTCCGTAGCCTCCTTAGTGTCCCTTCATAGTAGTAAATTTAAATATTTTAAACTTTGTCACAACAATACAACTTGTTGGTAACAAAATAAGATTCCGTTTGTTGTTCTTGAATTTTACTATGCTCGTGCTCTAAAGGAAGGAACTCTCACTCTATCCTTCTATGTTTGAGTAAATTTCTCAAACCCACCATATTTGTGACTAGGCTAATGGATTACCACCATTTTTGTCAAAAATCCCAGTAAACCACCACTTCTGCGGCAAGTGGGTAACAAAACGCACTAATTCGGAACTAAGCCGCGCCTAACAGCAGAACTAAGCCCCACATGTCATGCTGATCTGGAATGCCTACATGGACAATACGCTGAGGTGGAAGATGGCCCCACCAGTTAGCCCCTCATCTCTTTTCATGTTTTTTCTTGTTCTTCCACAGTCACGGTTGTCATTTATGTCATGCCCCCTCCATCGACCTTCAATGGCCACCACCCGCGCGGTGGTGCACACCCTTGGCCAAGCTCCCCACACCCTCCTGTTGGCCGAGCGGCAGCCACGACGGTTCCCATGCTGTCTTATCTCCCCTTGTCGATGTCAAAACTGGCGGATCTCGGGTAGGGGGTCCCGAACTGTGTGTCTAGGGTCGATGGTAACAGGAGACAGGGGACACGATGTTTGCCCAGGTTCGGGCCCTCTCTATGGAGGTAATACCCTACTTCCTGCTTGATTGATCTTGATGAATATGAGTATTACAAGAGTTGATCTACCACGAGATCGTAATGGCTAAACCCTAGAAGTCTAGCCTATGAGGTTATGATTGTGTATGTCTATATCTGCCTCTACGGACTAAGCCCTCCAGTTTATATAGACACTGGAGGGGACTAGGGTTGTACAAAGTCGGTTACACAGAAAGGAATCTTCATATCCGGTCGCCAAGCTTGCCTTCCACGCCAAGGAGAGTCCCATCCAG